CCCGTGGGAAGTTGGCGCGATGGATGATACGTCTGCAGGAGTATGACATCAGTATCGGGCATGTTCGAGGGAAGGAAAATGTAATGGCGGACTATCTGTCAAGATCAGACATGGAAGCCGAGCTTCCATTGACAGCATACGCAGTGAACAGTATAGAGGGAGACCCACTAGAACTCGTCCGGCAACAGAAATCTGATTTTAAACTTCGAGAGGTAATCAGAGTGATAAGAGAGGGGGCAGATTTCGACAAACGAGCAATGGACAAGGAGGCAACAATGTTGCTTCGGCAAAAGGAAAGACTGAAAGTGAACACATATGGAGCTCTGGTCTGGCAGGATGATGACAAAAATTGGGTGGCTGTGATCCCGAAAGACTGGCGGCGTAAGATGATACACGAATGCCATCAGGTAGCGCACACAGGTATCGCAAGAACGACAGATTTACTACGGCAAAGTGCATACTGGCCAGGCATGAGAGACGATGTGGCCCAATATGTGTTGACGTGCCAGCAGTGCCAATTAATGAAAAGCGATAGATACATGCAACCGCCATTGCAGTCGGTCCCAGTAACCGCAGTCGGTGATCTATGGTTGGTAGATGTGATGGGACCATTTTCACAGACGGATAGCGGCAACCGATACTTACTAGTAATGACGGAACATGCTACACGATGGGTCGACGCTGTACCGATTGCCGACCAGCGGGAGAAAACTGACCGAAGTAATAATCCGGCACATTGTAGCGGGTCATGGAGTACCGAAGATGATACTAACCGACCAGGGTCCCTGTTTTGAAAGTGACGAGTTTAAGGCCCGTTTAAAGCAGTTCGGCATCAAGAAGATACGAACTACCCCGTATCACCGTCAGACGAATGGGCTTACGGAAAGAAACAACCGGACATTAAAGAAATGGTTAGCATCTAAAGGAGGGAATTGGGAGAAAGAGTTACCACTAATTTTGCTGGCGCATCGTGCCTCCATCCAAGGAACAACCAAGAAATCACCTTTCCTACTTATGTATGGTAGACAGCCACGACTTCCGATGCATAATAAGACGTGGCCACAGCAGCAGAAGTGGACGGCAACAAGATTGAGGAAAGAGAGGACGGAGGCAATAAAGAACGTGAAAAAGAAACAAATATCAGACATCAAGAAGGCGGAACAGCAGAGAAGAGCATGGAAGCCTTTTAGAGTGGGGGACCTGGTAAAGTGTAGAGAACAGAGAGCTAACACTGAAGGGGGACCAGGGTCAGGAAAGCTGATCCCGAAATGGGAGGGACCGTACATTATCACGGAGAAACGCGGCCCAGTTTACACGATCCGGAGAGAAGACAAGCAGAAGCGTGTAAATGCCAGTCAACTACAGAGATGGTTTCAGGAACATCATGAGCACGAGTCACGAACAGCACCAAAGGAGACAATGGTACGGCGATCAGAAAGATTGCGAGAACAGCTTATTAAAAGGGGGGACGAGTGTGGTGTGAGCTACTGATATCGACATAAGTAGTATATATGGTGAGTAAGGAATAGAATATCTGACAGCAGAAGATTGAGAAGATCAAGAAGAGAAGAACAGAAATAAAAAGCAATTTGTGTGGAAATCCAGGAACAATGAAGCCTGAGGCAATTGAAGAACATTTTGCAAATAGTGTATCATAGCATGGTTTTTGTATTTTACCAAGTAACGTTGTAATTTGTGCTAAAGATATAGTTGGTTGTCCTCACCTGTGTTCTCATTCACAACAAAACTATGTCGTCGGCGTATTCTAGGTCAATAAGTGAGCCTCCTAGTAAAAGTTCAACTCCTGGAGATTGAGATGATTAAAGTGTTATTTCCAAAAGCATGTCAACGACAAAGTTAAACAGGAATGGGGAGAGTGGACAGCCCTGACGAACACCACTTGAGGTAACCAATTCTGATGACAGTTCGCCATAGGCTCTAACTCGACCAGTTGGGTTCGAGTAGAGAGCCTTTAAGAGGTTAATGTACTTCTTTGGTACTCCTTTCACTGACAAACACTGCCATAGAACCTCACGATCAACGGAGTCAAATGCCGCCTTAAGGTCAAGAAATACTACTATTGTGGGACGTCTGAATGTATGTCTATGTTTTAGGACCTGACGTAGAGTGAATATCTGGTCTATGCAACCACGTCCAGGACGGAAACCAGTCTGGTTTTCTCTAGTCTGCTCTTCACGAGCTTTGATTAGGCGTCCAAGTATTATTGAAGCTAATATTTTAGACACTATATTAGTCAAACTGATTCCTCTGTGATTGCCACAGGAGGACTTTTGTCCTTTCTTATAGACTGGCACAATCAATGATGGGGACCAGTCAGATGGAATTACGTCCAGTTCCCAGATTCTACCTAAGACCTCAGTCAATCTCGTTGCTAGTACTGGACCACCATCCTCAAAAATCTGAGGGGTAGACCTGTCAGGGCCTGCTGCTCTCCCTCGCTTTAGATTTCCTATAGCTTTTTCAACCTCGTTGAAAAAACCTCGTAGGTCAGTGTATGACATGGTGTCGTGGCATGAAAGAGAGCTGCAAAGGGCTAGCTTCCGTTGGTCCTTCACGACTCCCTGGTTGGGGTCCGAGAGATAGTGCAACACAGTGGCTAGAGACGTTATCAGATATGGCTCAGAATAGAAGCCAGTGGCGATCCTGCTGCAACCTTCTTTTACTTTCTACATAAAGAATGGTTCTAACTTTCCTAAGTGAAAGAGTCTTCTGGTTGTACATTTCAGCCCGCCTTATCTTTTCATCCCTTCTCTTCCTACTTTCATTATTTTGTGTGGCGCATATGTACCTGGTGCCCTTTTGTACCAATATATATGTGTTTAAATAAATAAATAAATAAATTTTCAACCTCGTAGAGAGTTGGAGGACTTACCTCAATTTGCCATTCAGGACGACTGGGGATCATGGGTAACTGAAGTGTGGCTGAAGGCCAGTTGAACTGATCCCTAAAGTGTTCTGTCCATCGATCCAATCTCCTGGATTGAGAATAAATGACATATCCATCTTTGTCTGAGATAGTTTCGCTAATAGTTGGGTTCCTAATGCCGGTTTCTTTAATAAGTCTGAATAGCTGTCTGCTGTTACCTATTGCCGCTGCCTTTTCCATCTCTCTTGCTTTCGCTACCCACCACTGTTCACGATCATTGCGTAGGCTTCTTATTAGCCTTCTCTTAAGCTGACTCCGCTCTTCGTTATGTTCAGAGCCAGGTGGGATGAGCTTTCGAGCACCTATCAGTGCGGTAGATGCTTCTGTGATCCATTGTTTCTCCCTGACCTTATGGTTTACCTTACTAGCGGATATCACTGCTGTTTCCACAGCTTTTCGGATGTCATTCCACGCTGCCTCGGGGTGTGCACAACTTACATGTCTGTCTAACTGTTTTTCTAGTTGTTCCTGAAATATATTCTTAGCTTGCCTATTATTAGGTAGAACCCTTAGAGGCTTCCCTGCAGTGTCTTTCCTACGTCCAGTAAGACGCAGACAGATACGTGCTCGCACTAGAGCATGATCTGAGTCTAAACATGTGCCCCAGAATGATCGACAGTCTTCTATCGAGCCCCTCCTTCGGTGACTGATAGCGATGTTATCTAATTGGGTCCAACGTTGGGACGAATTCGGGGGTCGCCATGTCAAAAGATGTTTTTCCTTATGCTTAAAGTTAGTATTTGCAAGAAATAGGCGGTTATTTGAGCACAGCTGCAACAAACGGTCGCCAATATCTGTTCTTTGAGCCACAACACCATAAGATCTACCCAAGTGTCTTTCCCTTTCGCTTAGTTTACCTACTTGAGCATCAAAGTCATCTGCTACTATTACTACATCAGAACGCCTAGCTTTTCGGAGGAGGTCAAAAAGTTTCCTGTAAAACTCATCTTTTATATCGTCTGAGCTGCAGTCAGTGGGAGAGTAGGCAGAGACGACGAAGAGGCGACGATGGGTTCCCCTATCTTTCCGAGTCCTTACTGATCCGTTTAGTCGGACAGCGCATAGACGACTGTCTACTGGGATCCAGTCTAAAAGAGCTAGTTCTGCCCTAAGACTTAATGCTATACCTACTCCAGCGAGGCCACGGGAAGCAGAATCAGGGCTTCCTATTTGGCACAATGTTCGGACATCAAAAGTTCCTATATGTAGTTTAGAGCGTGGTTTCAGGAGACCAGGAATAACGTTCCGTGTACTTGAATCGTTTGCTCTGGCGGTGCGAGGAGATAAAAGGACGTGGGAAGGGTTAGTAGTGGAGATAAGAGAGTTATTAGGAAGTGTAGGAAGGATATCCGAATGACATCCGAAAAGCTGTGGAAACAGCAGTGATATCCGCTAGTAAGGTAAGCCATAAGGTCAGGGAGAAACAATGGATCTCAGAAGCATCTACCGCACTGATAGATGCTCGAAAACTCATCCCACCTGGCTCTGAACATAACGAAGAGCGGAGTCAGCTTAAGAGAAGGCGAGGCGAGGTCGTGGATGCGCACTGCTGATGAGTCCCACAATAGGACGAGACGGCCATCCAGTGCTTTCAGGTTTTCCCTGGTGGTCTAGCTTCAATTGACTCACGCTTTCAACTATGAAAATACTAAATCTCCACAAAACCTCTTCTGAAAATTTTATATCATACTTCTTTCCACAGTGTTCACTTATATCCCTTACATATACAGTACTGGGTAAACAAGTGTCGCATTTATCACCTAGCACTTTCTTTTCTTCGGTTCTTATCATTTTACGTTTGAGAATATTTTTGTGTGACCCATAACTAACCCCTGTTGTTCTCTTCTAATCTTGATCACTATTCGGATAGTTATTCAAAACGATATAAATACAGAAGTGTGTACTTTTGGTATTTCCATACGGTTTCATTAGATAAAGCACACATCAGTAGCAGTTACCATATTTTGCGAATAATGTTATATCAATAGATTAAGTTAGCAAGGACAACAGGACATTTAATGATGACTTCTTATATTTTTGCATTCTTTTTCAGCATCATGCTATAGGAACTTTTAACTTTCTGAATTCAGAAAGACGATATGTTGCTGCAGCTGTCATTCCTCCACGCCGCCTTGATGTACATGATGAAGCTGATGAAAAAGCCACGCATTTACTATTGGACAGAGAAAGCCAACAATCAGACGAAATACCTCTACTGAGTCCAACCAGTACTAAATTGTTGAAATCCAGTGATTCTAAAGGAGATGTTATTGTTTCGCGTTCACCTCTGATAAGTTGTAATCTACCATCCTCTACATCATTGTCTTCTGGAAGCAAAGAAAAAACATGAATTTCGCACTTCAATGTTTGTATATCTGTGATTAGTCATTAACACGTGTTTCTACCCTATTGTTCTCTATTGTGCATAATAAACACCTACATAGCATAACTCTGTTCTTAACGTTATATGAGCAAATACCTATCTTGTTTTTTTCTTTGCGTTATTCACTTAAGATAGTTTAAAAAAAATAAAAATACCCATTTAAAGGAATACTGAGATGGATTTTTCGGGTGACTATTTCACAGTCTTAGGCTCCATCAAACAAACAATTCGAAGATGAAAATGTATACTACTGTTTCACTTAGATCAATAGCCTAGGGATATCAATTTCACTCATTATGTTATATGTTCAATTTTATTCCTTTAACCTCGAATCAAGCACCTGGTTATATATCAGTGGTCTTTATATAATGAGTGTAAACCAGAATCCAGGATAAAAGTCTGTGGAGTTTCTCAGTGTCGATTTTTGGAGATTGTTGAATGTCATTGAAGTTGTTGAAATTAACACTACTCCATTCACGTCACTTTTTGCGTATTGAATATACGTGAGTTTACCTGCAGTACTTTTTCAGAGTAATAAAAATAAATAGAAACCTTCAACTATTCAATAGTTCCCTAGAGGTTAAAAAATATATAAAATGCGTAATACCAAGAAATATATATCATAGGTTCTAACTTAAGAAGTCAGAAAAGTTAGGAATGAACAAGAATTGCAGTCACAACATAAAATAACGGTTTTAAGGTGTCATAAGTCACTTGACGTGTAAATTTATTGAGCAATGGATTTTAATCACAAATGAAAAGCAACGTGTTTACCACGAAAGCTGAATATGATAAGTTAAATTCCTGAAAGTATAGCGTTTACAATGCTAATGAATTTTTAGGTAAAATGAAGCAGAACCTTTACTCAAGTGTCTTCAGATGGTTCATTGTTGTATAGCAACTACCAAGTTGTTTTCCCAGTACCACCAGTTTTATATCAATCTTTTAATATGGATAACCTGATCACCGTTAATTCTGTGTATGCACCAGACAGTTCGGCAGGTACAGGTGATGAGCCATATATTTCACGAAAGATATATGAATTATTAAATAGAACTGTTTGAAAGACAATGTATTTGATGATGGTTATTAAAAATATTACTGCTGGTAAACACAGATAATTTCGTTGCTCATCTGGGTATTTACAATCCCTACATAAAGCAATTATTCTTTCAAGACGTTGCATAGGAAAATTTGTTCATTTTGTCGAAAAATAGGCTGTAAGAGTCTTGTTATATTTTTGATTTGCAATTGTTAACTAGTATTGATTACTTCGTTGTAAGTACTTTAATTTCTGTGATAATTGAATATTTACATTGGTTTTAAACACATTGAACTCCATCGCTTAGTGTGTTGGAGCATGTACTTTAAAGAGAAGTGAGCTATTAGGCAATTGTCTAGAAAGTGTAATAGCTCACTATTCTTTGAAATACGTAGTGATGTCCAGAAGAACTATTAGAGATTCACGACCAATCTTCTTAGATCAGACAACACAGGAACTCCAACAATGTTAACCTGAGCTGCAAATATTCTCTATCATATTAAGATACTTGGTGTGTGTATGTGAATTTTATCTCATACAGTTACTATAGTACTTGCCCATGTTTGTGACATATAAACGTAATTCATTTAGAATACTAATTTCACTTTACACATATTAGTATTCCAGAAAACCGGTAGTGTATGTGTCTAACTTCAAGCACTTAGTAGTATTGCGCGACCATATCCCATTGCCTGCTCCATATAACTGACCCACACCCTATATGGTTGTGCTCCACTAGTTATGGTTTCCCACTAGAACTCCTGCAATCTCATTTAAAAGTTAATTACCAGTAAACACAGTGTTGGATATCAGCCGTGGTCTAGAGGTTGAGCGTTCGTGCGCCTGACGGAAGATCCTGGACTCGACCTCTCTTTCGTGGCGTCTTGAACGTGCATTGGTGAGTCCAATGCTAAGAAAACGCCACCGCCCATTGCTTCTTGGTTTTCAATGGTGGTCATATTCCTAATATTTTGCCCCTCGTTCAGTACCAACTTCAAGATTACCTCACCTTATCTGATTCTAAATTTCTATGGAGATGATGACATGATAATCGAACAGGTGTATACTGCGATCAAATTGTAGATGTACTTTGTTTTGGGAACCCAATGTTTTCCATAGTTTTGTTGTAAAGTTTATAATTTATAAAATTTTCTCATAAAAGATGCCTCTAATTTCGTTGTGAAATTAAGCGAAAAATCAATGAAAATAAAACAAAGTGACGATATGTTCAGTTATACGATGAAAATTATTTCTTTTTTTAAAAAATTTTATTGGGAATAAAATTTCTTATTTGTTCATTTTTTTACTCAATCATCAATTAATTACCCATCTAGTTATTCAACAGGGTTTGCAATGTCGTTTCATTGCGACGGATTTCATTTATCGGTTGTAATTTCCCGTCAAAATCTGCTGGGAAAACCAATGGATGTCTGGCATTATTTTCAACTGAAATCACCAATGAACGTAAAGAGAATGACGCCAGTTCATTATGGGAATTAGATAAACCTAAACGTATTTGGCCCAATCAGTTACCTGCTGCTATCGAAGCTGTCACACCACCTTGTCCAACAACTGTAGCGGCTACTTCGAAAGCACCACTGATAAAAGACTTTTTCAGAGGCCAAGTCAATCTGGTACTTTTGATTGGTCCGCGTATTATTATTGTTATTATTATTATTATTATTATTATTATTATTTAACTCCTGACAGTTGCACTGGTGGAATTCAGAAGTGGTGGCATTTTTTCATTTAATAAAATACTCATAACACACTATTTGAATCGTAGTTCAAAAGGTCCATTCTTTGTATCATTACTGTACGTTAAACTAATGCGTTCAGTATGAAGATCATATGAACATCTTTAAACCCATTCGGACGTTTCGATTCTATGTTTATTACAAATGAACTCATCTCCGCATGGTAGACATTGTAGAATTTTCCCCTACAGTATTGGCAGTATTCTATCAGACTAAACGAATTAATACTTGTATTGATTTCGACATTACTATCCAGTACTTAAAATATCAACCATTGCTATCTTTGAAATCGGGATTTGTATTTTGCAATGTAACATTGGAAGGTTTCATTGTCGGTTATTCAAAGTTTTAATTATTTCTCAAGTAGCATTACACTATGTAGATAAATCGATCATCTAACGATATTATGAAAGTGTGATTTTATATATTAAAAAATGACAAGTTTCCCTAATCATGTAGTCGCGCTTTGTTAATGACTGTTCAGGCTTTCTACACCAACGATTAAAGATTGGTTTCAGTTATCTAAAATTATATTAATTTGAAGGTTTGCATGGGAAATCGTTTTCATCGATTTAATGTTTTCTAAATCTTATTTTTTATTCAGTACATTTCATTCATTTCAAGATATGTTCTTCGTAACTTTCTGAAACATAGAAATTCTTTATATGATTAAATAAGTCAATAAAGTGGTTTTACTTGGCGATACTATGGTTTTTTTTACTAAATCAGTCCCATATTTGAACGAAGTCAATTATATGAAACGCAAACTTAAGCGTGAACTTATAAGCAACACCTTAGCCTGATAATTTGGAATTCCTAAACAATCCATTAGATTTAGTACTCAAAGCGTTAAAAATCTACTTCATACAATCCCTGTAGAAAATGTGAAATCTCAAAGATGTACACCTGTCATTGATGATTTGTAAACGCTAACTTTAAGAACTATCATCCACCCACCTTTTGGCAGTCAACTAAATGAAGCTCATATCAATCAATCATGAATTTTTTTTATTAAATGGTGACTGGTTATCATCACAGTTTAATATCTGCAGAAATACCATTAGATATTTGAAAATATGTAACAATAATATACTCCGATCCTGGGTTTGTTTAAATGTATGCTACGATTATCCTTTTAAAATTTGGATTTAGAACTTGGATGCATCAGTCAAGACTTTGTACTATTCATGTAATTACCACTAGGGGACATCTCTGGAAATTTGAAATCGATATTTTTCTATATGCTTTTCCTGTATCAACAATTAATAAACTGGTAATAGCTTTCTTTTTATTTACAGGAATTGTTCGAATTCCTCGAATTACAAACCAGACGTCAAGTAGATGATTTAGATGCTATGCACAATCAGATCAAGAGATTCATACTCAAAAGTATGTGGTTTTTTCCCCAGTGATTTGCTGTTTGATATTAAATTTAAATGGGTCAATCAGTTTTTAAAGGTATGTTTTGACTAATATACATTATATGCTTCTGGATGAAAACAGGTTCATTTGATATGTAGTCATTGGTCGGTCTGAGTCTTACAGGCGTTATAGATTTTCTAATCGGGGTCCATGAGATTACTGTAGTTAATAGTTTATAACGTTAAGTGATCAGACACTAAGAATATTTGTTTAACTATGACAGTATATTAAGTCTTGACAAACGCAGTGTAAGATGAAGATCAGCTTTTAACAAATTAAATATGATCACTTTTGTCTAGAATGTTTCAAAACTGATTAATCGATTAGATTTAGGCTGATATAACCGATCCAAATATATGTTCACATTGTCGACTGTTCCTTTTCGTGTCAACTGTGTGGAGTTTCTCTGCAAGCGCAACGGCGTGTATCCTGATTCTCCTCATTTTTTACCATGTACCTTAGATAGTATAAGCACTTGACTATCGACTAAAATCCAGTTCGAAAATTCACACTTGAAAGGTAGCTATCGAGTTTTATATGCTAAGAGGATGAATCGTGCTAGTAACGTAGTACAGACGGTTAAAACGTCCTGGTCGCCTACAATATGACGGATGTTTCTTTGTAAGGAATTCTAAAAACAAATTGTACTACTAGTATTGCATCTTATTAACTCTATCTGTAATATTCAAAATCCGTGTAAAATCAGCTGTTTATAGTATTTTGAAGGTGACCTTTTGGTGACCCATCTTTTCACTTGTTGGAGAACAATAGTATGATTTTGCTTCTGAACGTGAATCTCAGCATTTTCTTACTGTTTTAGTCGATTTAACTGGTGTTGAAG